AAATAATTACAATTGCTCCCAAATAATTTTGGGATCATTTTATAGGCTAGTTTGATGTCTTTCTAACGGGTTTTTGTAAAACAAGTTTCTCTACATGTCTGAAATACACTTTGTTTAAATCAGGTGGAGGATTACACTCTGGATAGTTTTCCAAGTGTCTCTTCTTTTTGTAGTCTCTCTTATGTAAGTATTTTCCTCAGGGCCATATATGTACACAGGTTACGGTCATATGTTCAAGGCTTCTTTGTCACAAATTTAGAAGTGTATATGAATGTTGTTATTCACATGCCAGAAAAACAACCCTGAAGAACAGCCTTTCTGTCTCACATACTGCCAAGCATGTTGCTGGTTAAACACTGATACTGTCCAGAATCCTGCCTGTGAAATGGGGTGGCTGATGATCAAACCTCCTCCTGTGAAACTGCATCGATCATCACTTTCAGTGTTGATTTCAGTTCCATTTCAAAGCCATCTTAGGGAAAAAGAAATTCCTTGAGACATTTATGGCCAAAGGAAGGCACCAAGCTTACTGTACAGAACCTGACAGCCCTGGCTTTTACTAAGGAGGACAGATACTCAAAGATGCCCTCTGCAGAAAGCTATTACTTTGGCAAAGCTTTAGGTGGAAATGTTCCACAAGGCATGCCTGACAAAAGCCAAGCTTTGTTGAATAAAGCAACTCAGGGCAGATCTTTGGCCTCTGAGGAGAAAGCATATTCATCACTTTACCTATGCTGAATTAAAATCATCACCTTTTTTTGCAAAACTACCAACTGTGCTTGTGATAATCAAAGTTTCAGTTCATGTTTTGTCATCAAAGCCTTGGGCCCAGATGACCTTCACATTCATAGAGCTGAGTCTGCACTGCATGAGAGCAAGGAACATTTCTTCTCCATTATTTCAGCATTGGTTCTTCTGGGCCCAAGAAAGGAAAAAACCTGATTTAAATACAGAAAGCGGAAGAACAAGGCCTGTGAAAAGCAGGGAGATAGATTGATGGACATAGCCTGTTCTGAAATAAAGGATGTTGGCAATGAACAAAGGCAAAAAAATATCAGCTGGGCCAGCATACAAGAAATTCAGAGAAATAATGGTCCAGGGAAGAGCAGAATCAGCTGGTAGCTAGTCAAGGATAACATCTGGCCGCTACCAGGTAACTGGCAGCTCAGATCAGATGAGGCGAATCAGATGAGGAGTTGGCAGAAGGACTACTAAGTTTCAGAGGTGTTTGGGAGTGAAATGAGAAGGCTGAATGGTAGAGACAAGGATGGGAGTGAAGATAAAGTGGAACAAGACAGGCTTGTTCCTCACTTTGGGAATTTTTGAGTGCTTTAAGGGTGGTGGTTTTTTCATGTAACTGTTTTTCAAAAGAAATGTTGTACTGTGCTGGGCTCTGCATCAGCCCTGCTCCTCCCAGTGATTTCACAATGAACAGAATGTTGGTGGTGGCCTTGTTGCCGGGGGTTGGTGACATGGCCACCCAGAACACATCTAGAGAGGGCTGTGCAGTGAGACAGCCCAGACCCGAGGCGAGCAGGTGGGTGAGCAAGGGCTGAGGTGAGAGGGCAGGGAGGCAGGGGCTGCCCATGGCACTTTGGACAGACGGTGGCTGCTCCTCCTTTGCCTTGCAGAGCCAGAGGCTCACCCAAGGACAGGACCAGACCGTGGCACCTGGCACAAGGACATGACCAGAACAGGACCTCAGCTACAGACCCAGAGAGATTTTCTAACTTCTACAAGGATGCTGAGACAAAGGTAAGGAAACAAGACCCTGGCAGAGCCCTGGGCAGGGGATGCCCATTAGGAGCCAGCAGGGCTGTTTCCTTTGTTTGTTGATATGATCCTGCCTTTTGGAGCTGCAGGCTCAGACAGTGACAGGACCAGACCGTGGCGCCCTCCAGTCCTCAGCCACACAGCTGGAGATATTTGGTACCTTCTATAAGTTAAGGAATCAAAAATGACACCAGCTCTTGGCACACACCTAGTGATGCAGAGGCACTGCCAGAGTGGGTGGTTGATGGGTGGTGGCCCACGCCACCATGGGATGGGTGTCTCCTGGCTGCCAGGGAGAAGTGGGACTGACAGCCTTGGCCTCAGGCTGGCAGAGTCCTGGGCAGGGGATGCCCATGGTTCAGCCAGGGTGGCTGTTTCCTTTGTTTGTTGATATTACGCTGCCTTCTGCAGCCACAGGACCAGAGAGGGACAGGATGAGACCATGGTGCACTCCCGTCCCCTCCCTCCACAGCCACTCAGCCAGAGATGTCTTCAGCTTTCAACAAAGACCTTGGGACAGGACACTGACCTAAGGACAAGGAAGCACCCGCAGCCCCAGTCTGGACAGCGCCATGGTCCCACAGGCAGCTGGAGGCTCCCCACAGCCATGGACCAGGGGAGCTCTGTGCCACCCACCCTGTCTGAAACTCACCTTGAAATAAAATGTTCTGATTCATGAGCCATCGGCTGGGTCTTCTGCTTTCTGTGGTCTTTTGGGGGAAACCTCCTCAGCCTTTTCCTTATTGTCCTTACTGCACTAAATGTCTAGATCTTTATATACATCTATAGATAATAAGATAGACTTCTTTATACACAGTCCTGTGGAAAGTGTACCTGTACCTTCCTTAGGGGAAGGAAGTGAAGTGCCAAGTCAGAGGCTGCTCTGAGACTCATCATGTGGGTATGACACTTTCAAAACATGGAAAACAGCCATCCCAGAGCAGTGTGAATGCACGCGGGGTGTGAGGCAAAAGCCATGTCCTTGAGTGAGTGGGATGAGGCAGGAGGCAGAGGTCAGCCTGTGGTACATGGGCTCCACGCAGACCTCACCACAAGGTCAGTTGTTGTCAAGTGCACAGCTGGGATGTTCTGTGATCTGTCTCTGGGAAGTTTCACCTCACGCCATCACAGGAAAACATTTCACTGTCTCTGGTGCTTTGACGTTGGCTAAATGCCAGGTACCCACCAAGTTGCTCTATCATTTCCCCCCCCTTTCCCCTTGTTTTCTCAACAGGGCCAACAGGGGAAAGAAAATAAGATAGACCAGCCCTTGTGGGTAAAACAGAAGTAGTTTGAATAGAAGCAAAGCGAAGCAAAGGTCCTCACACAGAAGCAAAAATAAGCAAACAGATTTATTCTCCCCTTGCCATGGAGAGGCGCTGTCGGGCCCTCTCAGGAGCAGGGCTCCCATACCGGAGTGGTTGCCTCGGAGGACCAAGGGTGACCCCAGCTCCTTCCTCCTTTCCCCAGCTTTATACTGAGCAGACGTCATGTGGTATGGAATACCCCGTGGGTCAGTTCGGGTCAGCTGTCCTGGCTGTGTTTCCCCCACTGCAGGGGGAAATGTCGGGAAGAGCCTTGGTGCTGTGTAAGCACCACTCAGCAGCAGCCACAGCCCCAGGGTGCTACCAACACCCTGCAGCTCCCGACATAAAACACAGCACCGTGAGGGCTGCCACAGGGGAAAACCAATTCCGGCTCAGCCAGACCCTGTACACTGTCTTACCTGTGTTCTCCTAGAAAATATCCATTAGTCATGGAATTCTCTACAGATTCACATAAAGATGTAGATGGCTGATATTCTGAATTTATTGATTGTAATATTAACATATAATGCATCAAATCCAGGGCAGACTTTATTACTAAAGATTTTTTCCCCAACATTCATTACAGATTTTTAAAACTCTCAGATTCTCAGAAAATACTAAATCTGAGTCAAATGAAGATAAGACAATATTGGTATCCTAAGAATATCTTGGTAACTTCCGCAAGCCACGATATCTAAGTTTTGCCAAAGTATTTAAGCCAATTCTGTATTTGGAGGTCTCTGGGGTAGGCTTCTCCAGAGTATGCCACCTATAGAAATGTAAAGAAATCGTTTTTATTGATGAGTCTTCTGCACTCTCTTCCTGTCTCTACTTCAAACTATTTTCTGTTTCAGTTTCAATCCTGTCATTTCTACTCAGTAAATGTCCTCGATGGCATTCATTTTCTAGTAGGTTTGCTATAAGGTCAGATTAGTGTCTCTGGAACCAGCATCTCTTCAGATGTTCAGTTCTATATGGTGATCATACTTTCTGGAACATTGGTTTCACAAAAATTAACACAGCAACAACAGCGTGTTCATAATGGGCCTGCATGACTGTGTAACAGAAACAAGGAGAGCACTAGGATCCTCCTCCTTCCTGAACACAAGAGAAGAAGCCAAAAATCAGTCAGTGAGCAGAAGCAGGCCCCCCTGCGTGCCGGCAGCCGCAGCCACAGCCACAGTACAAGAGAGGGAAGTACTTATTGCAGGAGTAGCAGTTACAAAACAGTAAGAAAATGTTGGAAGTATAATGCATGCACCTATTTTCACTGAATGCAAATAATGGGGCCTAGAATAAATTAGGCTAGAATAAAAAAAAAATATTCAGCATTTTAGTTTATCATCACTCGCTGAGCCTTACAGAGCAAATGTGTGTAAAAGGTTAATTAGTGAACTAGTTTTCACACAGTACACGATTACAGTTTCCCTGCCTGCCAGTGCTCTCTCAGGCCACTCACTTTCCCTCTCTGTCCCAAATGTGTCGCTTGACATGGAAACATCATCGCACTGCAGTGAACATAAACATATGTGTTAAATATTCTACGGCAGCTTTGGTGAGAATCCTACAATTATCCACATTAAAGGTATTTTTCTCTAACTTATCAGAATGGAACTCGTAGAAGCATGGAGTTTCCTTTGATAAATAATTTTCAAGTTGTTTTCACTCTTAAGAATAATAAATTCCCTTTGAAAAATAAATTTCTAACATCAACTTTATGTTAGGAGTACACAAGAAAAAGTTGCAAGAATTGAACCTGGTTACCTTGCACTTTTCCCTATCACCTTTCTAGTTGGTTTCACAATTTTCTAAGTACATAGGGAAATTTGAAAATATCTGCACGGGATTAGCTCCAGTGATTTAACAGCATAAACTCAGCCCCATTTAAACAGCCTGTGAGCAGAATGGCAGTTACCGCCTCCAGCGTCCCCTCACGGAGATGCGCATGGTGAGCCGCAGATGGAGAATACTGACAGCCGGGTGCTCCTCAGATCAATGTTATCAGCACGGAGGATAAATCATAGAATCACAGAATTGTTCAGGTTGGAAAAGACCATTAGGATCATCAAGCCCAACCATAAACTTAGCACAGCCAAGTCCAGCACTTAACCATGTCCTCAAGTGCTACATCTACACATCTTTTAAAAACCTCAGGGATGATGATTCAACCACTTCCCTGTGCAGCTTGTTCCAGCGTTGGACAACCCTTTCAGTGAAGAAATTTTCCCTAATATCCAATCTAAACCTCCCCTGGTACAACTCCAGGCCATTTCCTCTAGTCGTATTGCTCATTACTTGGGAAAAGAGATGACCTCACTACAACCTCCTTACAGAGAGCTGTAGAGACCGAAGGGTCTCCCCTGAGCCTCTTTTTTCTCCAGACTAAACCCCCCCAGTTCCCTCAGCCGCTCCCCGTACGACCTGTGCTCCAGACCCTGCACCAGCTCCGTTGCCCTTCTCTGGACACGCTCGAGTCATTCAATGTCCTTTTTGTAGTGAGGGGCCCGAAACTGAACCCAGGAATCGAGGGGCGGCCTCACCAGTGCCGAGTACAGGGGTCAGATCCCTTCCCTGTCCCTGCTGGCCACACTAGTGCTGACACAAGCCAGGATGCCATTGGCCTTCTTGGCCCCCTGGGCACACTGCTGACTCCTGTTCAGCCGGCTGTGAATCCTCACCGGGTAGGCTCTGCGGGGGGACATCAACACGGTACCCAGAGTAAGGAGCGGCTCAGAGGAGCCATGGCGAGCGCTGCCCGCCCCCCCAGCGCCCGCCCCCCTTCCCGCGGGTGCTCGGTGTGGACGCACGCTGCGCGGACCGCTCTGCGCTGGCCAGTCTCTCCTCACGGCCAGC